GAACTCGTATCGGCCACGCGGCCTGCCAGGGGTGAGCGCAATATCTAGCACAGCCTGTAGCGTTGGTTCCAGCATGGGCTGGCATCCCCTGGATCACGCTCCCGGGGTCGCAGCGGAGGGGGAACATCACTCGGAGGGTCCGGCGGCGGGACGGCGCCTGCGGCGTCGCGGGGCCGTTCCTCCGCCCGGCCAGGACGCGAGGCCATACGCATGCCAGGGGGAGGAGCAGGAGGGGGGGAGGGAAGAGGGAGGAGGAGGAGGAGGGGAAAAAGTGCCGAAAACACGACGTACTGAAGCTACACAGGAACAGCTCGAAGAGGATGGAGACTCAGCCCCTCGTTGCCCGCGTGCGTGCCGAAGTGGGTCTCGTAGCTCGCCCCCTCGCCCCTTCGTCGTAGCTTCCTCCAGCCCTTCTCCAAGCTGAACTTTGCGACCCTGTTCCTGATGATCTTCGCCTCCGCCCATCTCTTCCGCCTCTGTTGCTACCCAATCACATCGACGTGCTCGCGCAGACGGCGCCTACCCACCACCATGATGTACCACTGCGTCTTCGCCTTAACCGTCATCTTCACCGGGCTCTGGGATTACTCCAGGAGGACACTGCGCTGCCGAGGTTGCGAGATCTGGATTGTCCAACAATGGCCGCGCGAATCCCAAGGGACGGCCAATACATGGGCGACGTCACGGTCACCACGTGGAATGCGCAGGCCTTGTTCGCGTCCAACCCGCAGCGCCACGCTGTGAAAGCCTCTTACGTGCACCACCTGATGGTCAAGACGGACGTCCTTCTGGTGACCGAGTCCCACGGGACAGAAGCGGGCAACGACGCGTGGCGCCCTCCCTCTGGTTGTTCGGCCTGGTGGTCCCAGGGCCCCACGGCCGGCCACTCCGGAGTCGGCTTCGTGATCGAAGACGAATTCCTCCGCAACTTCGACCAGCCACCGCGCCTCCACCACATATGGCGGGGCCGCGCTGCCAAGTTATGCCTCCGCGGAGCCTCCGGGACATTGGATCTGATAGTGGATTACTTCCCATCCGGATCCCAGGCCAACCCGCCCGACACGGATCTGGCAGGCATCCCGGCCCGGTTCCGGGCAGGCTTGAACAACTTCCCGGCCATGCGTGCGTACATGCGGCAGCTGCTGGCGAACAACGTGAAGGCCAGGAGCCAGTGCCTGACCGTGCTTGGAGGGGATTTCAATTACGTCACCGACGACGCGGACAGAGTCTCGCTCGACACTGCCCTGGCTAGTGGTCGTCGGGGCGGGCGGGAAGTGGCGAATTTCCAGTCGACAGTTGCGGTGCGGCATGGCCTCTTCGAGATGTACCAGGGGGACTTTACTCACTCCTCGGCCACCGCCCGGTCACGTTTGGACAGGATCTACTTCAACCACGACGTGGATGGACAGCTTGACAGGCGCATCGTGGCCACGAGCCTCGAGTGGTGCCAAAACCTATCTCACCATAGTGCTGTTCGAGTCGCTCGCCTCTCCCCGGTCCGCGAGGACGATCCGGGTCGCCCGCTGGCGCGCCGCGCACTTCTGCGCCCGGATTTCACCAGGCGTTTGATTTTAGATGTTCGCGAATCTTTGAGAGAGTGCCCAGAGGCGTCGCCGTTTCAGCAGCTCGCTTTGTGCACGGCATCTATGCGACGGGTCGCGCGTGGGCTCGAGAACGACTTCAGGGCCATCCCCGCCGCCGTGGACGTGGAAGACAAGCTGGGGGTTGCCCTCAAGCTGATCCGCGCGATCGAGGGCGCCAGGCCGACGGAGGTCTCCACCTGTCTGGCCCGGTTCCCGGGCATCAGGCGGCGCGTCGACAACCCGTATGATTTCGACGGCAATCTGACCCGCAAGCTGTTCCGTCTACGCCAGTTCGCCGTGCATCTTGCGCGGGGCCATGCTGTTGAAGAGCTTCGTCATTCCCAGCCCGACCTCACCGGCGAGGACGCCTTCAAAGCACGGGTCGCACGGCAGAGAAATAACAGGTTGATTTTTCGTCTGGCCCCGGGCAGGGGCAGCGTGCTCAGCGCCGGATCCTGAAGGGCGACGGGGAGGTCACCGCAGACCCTGCGGACATGGCAGGAATACTCGGTGCACACTGGTCTGAGACTTTTGCGGAACAGGGCATTAACGACGAGCTGCTGGATCAATGGTTGGAGGACGACGCGGACAACAGGCCTCTGGCGGACCTGGCCAGCGCACGGGTCGCCCAGGTCCGGCTCCGGAAGTCGCGCGTGGCCCACGCTCTCCAGACAGCTGGCAACGCGTCCCCAGGCCCCAGGCGAAGGGTACTTCGCACCAGCGGATGCCCGCCCACTGAACGTGGCGACCACGGACAACAGATTGATCTCGAATGCGGTCCGCGCCGCCGTCGAGCCAGCGGTCAGCCGGGGTATCTTGGAGATGCAGCGCGGCTTCCTCGGAGGGCGCTCCATGCTCGTCAACCTGGTCGATATGGAGGAAGCAATGCTCCGGACAGCGCTCAGCAGTCCAACGGGCGGGGCTCCTCTCTTCGACTTCGCGGCGGCCTTCCCGTCCATCGAGCGCAAGTTCATGATCCGCGTCTTCGGTCATCTGGAAAGGCCCCCTTGGCTCCGCGGCTACATCGCCGCTTTGTATTCCGAGAACTCTTGCGCGATCACCGTGGGAGGCGCCAGGCACAGCAGCTTCGGCACTACGCGGGGCGTTCGCCAAGGGTGCCCGCTGTCGCCTCTCCTGTTTGCGGCGGCGATCGGCATCCTCCTTCGCCGGATTGTCCGCCTACTCCCGGACTGCGTGCTCCGCGGTTACGCAGACGACCTCGCGCTCGCAGACATGGATATTTGGGCCAGCATGCCCGTGGCGGAGAAGATCTTCGCGGATTTCGAGCGCATCGCCGGGCTCGCCCTGAACCTCCGCAAGATGGTGTTCATCCCGCTCTTCCCCACAACCATCAGGGAGGCTCGCGAGCGCCTCGCCGAGGTGGCGCCGCTCTGGGGAGCATTGGAGGTCGCTTTCAGCGCAAAATACATCGGATATTACATCAGCCCTGGGAGAGGTCAGCTCGCTTGGGACGCGGCTTTGCAGAAGTATCAGGACCGAGCGGAGATCTGGCGCTCCCTGCATGTGGGCATGCTCGGCACGATTCACGCATATCGGATCTACGTGGCGTCGGTGCTCATGTTCTGCGCCCAACTCGACCCGCTGCCCCCGAACTTCGCCGAGATCAAGGACAGAGCGCTGCGTCGGCTTTTCGTCGGCCCGAGGGACTGGGTTACAGCGGACTTCCTGAAGAACCTCACGCCCCTTGGCTTCCCTGGCGAGCTGTTCGATGTCCACTCATCGGCAACCGCCGCCCGAGCGCGCGTTGCGCTCTATGAGAACTCCAGGTACGGAAGCTTGCAGGTAGTGAGCAGAGCTAACGCCCTCCGGGCTCTCGCCACGGCCACCAACGACAACGCAGACCGAATCATCTATTTCCATGGTTGGTACCAAAGCAACTTTTTGTTCTCGCTCGAAAGTGCAGCTGCCCGCGTTCATGGAGCAGGAGCGCAAGCATTGCCGGACAACCAGCTCCCACAACACACGAGGTCAACTTGGCAATCCAGGGCTGCTCGCTTGCTCCGACCGGACTTTGCCCCGACTGCATTGGTCCATCTCCGGCGCAAGCTGGACCGATGGCGAATTCACACGCCCCCAGGCCATAGGGTCTCCCGGTGGATCGGCTTCGTTCAGAGCATCTCGCACCTCGTCGCCCCACGGGTCTTCGCAGCGGTCATCCGGACGGCTCTCAACGGCTGGGCGACGGCGCGGCGATTCCAGGGTCGCTCCTCGTGCATAATGGGCTGCTCCGGGGAGGACGCGATCGAGCACTACGCGTGCTGCCGCTGCTACCACGCCTGCTGTTCTCGATACCTTGGGCTGCAGCGGCCACCTGTGGAGCATGCGCTGGAGAACTTCATCGGCATCGACCAGTCCTCGTCGCCTTCTTGGGGGAATCCGTCCCTGACAGGGCCAGAGAGGGGCGCCCTGAGGGCAATCTCTGTATATGCTCTACACATGACGCACGCTAAGGTGCGGCATGGTTTGACCGTGGCTGAGTCCGCCAACGCCTTCCGTGGTTTCCTCCGGGAGGCCACCCAGCGACACCCGAGATCGACGGAGCTGTTGGCGAACGCGCTCTCTCTCTCCCTCTCTTCCTCTCTCGCTCTATCGCCAAGTTTACACACCTCTCCTCTCAAGTGCACGCCCGCTGACACACCCTCAGAACTCCACCTCGCAACATCTCCCTCCCTCGCCTCCATCCTGTGTCCTCCGTCTTTCCTCTCTCCGCAAGCCAACGTCAGCCTGAAGAATCTGCTGAGGGCCGTGCCTCCCATGTAAGTCCTGCCCCCCTTCCGCGGTGGTTTCGCTCCTGCCGCCGCCGCTGCCGCTAGGGTACTGCATGATGACGCTTGAGGCAACACAGCAGAAGGGGGGAACTATTGATCTCACTGGCGATGACGATAACGCGCACGAACAAACCCGTAACCCTATCATTTGACACGCCCGAACACGGAACACAATCGTATGATGCCCAGCAAAGAGTACCCCACACCGACAGTTGCTGCCGTTGGGTAGACTACTTTCTGCCCCTGCGTGCGCAGCGACACCGACAACGAATCCTGTTTAAGGCGGACGCGAGCTGCTTTCGGTCTTCGTCCTCGCGCTTTCCGTACCGATGCCGACAGTACCGATTCCTCATCGCACAGGGCGCTGCGGCGTGCGGCCGCCCTTGGCAGTCTTCAGTCGTCGTCCTGCGCTGCTGCTGCCTTCTCGAGCTCCCTGGCTGAGCGCGGGGTCCCCGAACCTCTCGACCACCCCCCCTTCTGCACCTCATGACGTCAAGTCCTCCTCAGTCCCCTCATCCTTCCACTCCTCCTTCCCCCCTCCCCCCTTCCCCTCTCCAGACCTCCGATGCCGTGTCTGAGACCTGGCCTCCCGAGGCCAAACGTTGTCCCTTTGAGCAAGGTTCGAGCTAAACACTGGTTTCCGTTGTGGGGTTGTTTTCGCTTTCCCATCCTTCCGTCTTCGTCCCGCTCTTGCAGCAAGACGACCTCAAAACGAAAGCAGTCCACGATTTCGCCAGAGAGCCGTATCGCTCGAACCCTGGTTCGTGAACGGGGGGGGGCAATACATTGGGGGGTGAAGAGACGTGCGCCTTTCGTGCACCTTCTGGGCCCGCGGTGGCCATGTAGGGGCCGCTTATAGGGGCCGTCTGAGCATGCTAAGCAAATTTGTCGAACTTCGGGTTGGAACTTCTGAGATTTGGGAACGTCTCAAGCGGAAGCCTGGAAAATAGCGGTGCGCCAGTATACTGTCTCGCGCACGCTCGTGCCATTGCTCATGTGACACATGTGCAAGAGAACATCCAGGAACCAATCGACATGTCCTAGAACGCGACGAAAACCCCCTTGATCCATGTTTGCGATCGCCTGATATAGTGCCCCTTCCGGGCCACTCTCCGGAAACCCTCGATGCACCCCCCCGTTGATTGTCGCCCCGCTGCCGTCCGCCCCCGAGCTGCCTCCTCCCCGCACTGCGTGGGGTTCAGTCATCGGCCTGACCTGAGGAACACTAGATAAGGAACAACGCATAGGAACGATGAATAAAACATAACGCATAAAAGGGAACGACAAATAACGCATGCAAGCCGAAGGAACGACCGATGAGGAGGAGGAGGAGGAGGAGGAGGAGGAGGAGGCGGGGGAGGCGGAGGAGGAGGAGGAGAAGGATGATGATGATGATGATGATGATGATGATGAGGAGGAGGAGGAGGAGGAGGAGGAGGAGGAGGAGGATGTGGAGGAGGAGGAGGAGGAGGAGGAGGATGTGGAGAATGAGCCCCCTTTTGAAAATCCGCCGATCCGGCGTGTGAGTTTCTGAGAGCGTGGGCTTGAGCTCGCTCAAGCTTCGCTCTGGGGGGGGGCGGGATCCAGGCGAATTATCCACGCAATTCACTGAACGCTCCAGCGCGGGGGGGGGGTCCAAGAATCGAGGGGGGGGGGGGAGCTCGAGCGAGGACGGGGGGGGGGGGTCGAGCTCAAGCGGGGGGGGGGTCCAAGGAGGAAGCTCGAGCGGGGACGGAGGAGGGGGTCGAGCTCAAGCGGGGGGGGGGTCCAAGAAACCGGGGAGGGCAGCGGGGAGGGGGGATCCAAGAATCGAGGGGGGGGGGAGCTCGAGCGAGGACGGGGGGAGGGGGTCGAGCTCAAGCGGGGGGGGGGTCCAAGGAGGAAGCTCGAGCGGGGATGGAGGGGGGGGGTCGAGCTCAAGCGGGGGGGGGGTCCAAGAAACCCCGGGAGAGTAGCGGGGGGGGGGGGATCCAAGAATCGGGGGGGGAGCTCGAGCGAGGACGGGGGGGGGTCGAGCTCAAGCAGGGGGGGGGGCCCAAGGAGGAAGCTCGAGCGGGGACGGGGGAGGGGGTCGAGCTCAAGCGGGGGGGGGTCCAAGAAACCGGGGAGGGCAGCGGGGGGGGGTCCAAGAATCGAGGGGGGGGGAGAAAGAAGCTCGAGCGAGGAGAGGGGGGGGGAGGTCGAGCTCAAGCGGGGGGGGGGGGTCCAAGGAGGAAGCTCGAGCGGGGACGGGGGGAGGAGTCGAGCTCAAGCGGGGGGGGGGGTCCAAGAAACCGGGGAGGGGGGGATCCAAGAATCGAGGAGGGAGTGCCCAGGAGTCGAGCTCATCGGGAGCGCCCCGGATCGGCGGCACTGGCCGGAGGCCATTACAATAATAAGTGCTCCTTATTCGAGCCGCTCGCTGCACCCTCCCCGAACACCGATCTCGACCTCATGCCTCGGGCCCGGCGGTGCTCGGACCCCTCCCGGGAGGCCCAGCTCCTCGGGCCTGCGGGCCGCCCCCTCCGCCCGTGCCCGTCGGACGCTGGGCGAGGGCCGGCAAATCCGTGGCTGCTTGAACGATCTCCCTGGAAGAAACGACAAGGTCCCGGAATACTCGGGAGCGGCCAAGAGGGGGGTGTCCAAGAGGGGGGCGTGCAAATCATGACTGGCGGCATGTGCGCGGCCCATCGGGGGGGCCAGGGACGTAATGAAATAAGAAGAGGCATCATGAAATCTGGGGAAATATCATGGCCCCCGCCATGATATCCACCCCCCTAGTCATCACCCCCCTCATTTCCGCCCCCGAAATACAACTCAGCGCAGAAACGGGCTGCTCCCCGGAAGAAAAAACAAATTATCCCGGCAACGCAACCTACCAGCGATGTGTAGAAACATATCTGGAAGCATTACCCTTCAGATTCAGGTGATAATCCGATTGCAGAATTCTGCTGTTCTCGCAGTCGCAGCCTCAGCCTGCCTCAGCCTCAGCCTGCCTCAGCCGCAGCTTGCCTCAGCCTCAGCCTCAGCCACAGCCTCAGCCTCTGCCTCAGCCTGCCTCAGCTTCAGCCTCAGCCTCAGCCTCGGCATGCCTCGGCCTCAGCCTCAGCCTGCCTCGGCCTCAGCCTCAGCCTCAGCCTCAGCCTCAGCCTGCCTCAGCCTCAGCCTGCATCAGCCTCAGCCACAGCCACAGCCTCAGCCTCAGCCTGCCTCAGCTTCAGCCTCAGCCTCAACCTGCCTCGGCTTGCCTCAGCCTCAGCCTCAGCCTCAGCCTGCCTCAGCCTCAGCCTCAGCCTCAGCCTGCCTCAGCCTCAGCGTCAGCCTCTCAGCCTCAGCCTGCCTCAGCCTCAGCGTCAGCCTCTCAGCCTCAGCCTGCATCAGCCTCAGCCTCAGCCTGCCTCAGCCTCAGCCTCAGCCTCAGCCTCAGCCTCAGCCGCAGCTTGCCTCAGCCTCAGCCTCAGCCTTAGCCTCAGCCTGCCTCAGCTTCAGCCTCAGCCTCAGCCTCGGCTTGCCTCAGCCTCAGCCTCAGCCTGCCTCGGCCTCAGCCTCAGCGTGCCTCAGCCTCAGCGTCAGACTCTCAGCCTCAGCCTGCCTCAGCCTCAGCCTCAGCCTCAGCCTGCCTCAGGCTCAGTCTCAGCCTGCCTCAGCCTCAGTCTGCCTCAGCCTCAGCCTCACAGTTGGCTCCGGGCAATCAACATGTAGCCTGGGAATGGTGTTCTGGGAACACGAAGAACACGAAGTGGCCTACAGTTGGTTCCGGGCGTTCAAAATGTGGCCTGGGAGTGGTGTTCTGGGAACACGAAGATCACGAAGTGACCTACAATTGGCTCGGGACATTCAAAATGTGGCCTGGAAACGGTTTTCTGGGAGCACGAAGAACACGAAGTGGCCTACAGTTGGCTCCGGGCATTCAAAATGTGGCCTGGGAATGGTGCTCTGGGAAAACGAAGAACACGAAGTGGCCTACAGTTGGCTCCGGGCATTCAAAATGTGGCCTGGGAATGGTGTTCTGGGAATGGATTCCTAAGGATTCCTGAGGATTCCTGGGGCTGCCGGTTTTGTCCGGATCCCGCCCAGACCCCCTGGGGCGTCAAGATGCTCTCTTTTGATCCCACTAGAAACCTATCAGCCTTCGCTGTTAGGTAAAAACAACTTCCTGGAGCTCTGTTTTAGCAGCCACATGGGTTGCCAGCCTTCGCCTGGCGCTCCCCGCCGATTCAGAAACGGGCTGCTTCCCGGAAGATGAAAAGAACAACTTCCCGGAGCTCAGTTGCAGCAGCCACGGGTCTGCCAGCCTTCGCCTGGCTTCTGAGCCCGCCTCCCCGCTGCCCCGCTGCGCCTGCCGCTCCCCCGGCTGTTACCTGCACGCTCCTCTCTCCGCTCCGCCTCGTCGCCCCGTCGTCGACGCTGCTCGCCCGATGCTGCACCGTGGGCAGCTTGGCCCGAAGATAGACAAGCGCGCTCCAATACTCACAAAGTAGCCGCTCGCAAATGGTCCGGGTCCGCTGAGAGGGATTCGAGATCCATGACATCGAGGCCGATGTTTGGTTTTAGGACCTTTTGCGAATGGGCATTTTGCGAGTAGTGGAACGGGCTCGGTGACAAGAGCCCCTAAGAGGGGTGAAACGCGCACGGCAAGTTCGTGTCGTGTCGTGTCGACCCCGGCGTTGGTTCCTGATACCGTAGGGGTCGTCAAGCCTTGAACGATCGACCGTGCACGAAACGCCAGAACGTTCAGCACCGACGGATTCTGGGTGGCCGACTGCGTCCACCGATTGAACGCCGGCAGCGGGGTCGCCGATGGGGAAACCAAGAAGTACCGATACCGCCAGTCCCTGGACCTCTCCCGGGATGCGCTCTGACCAGAACTCGAGGCGCATCCAGCGGTGGCGAAGAGGGCCTCCGAGGAGGCGCAACAAAAAGGAGAGGCGAGGGAAGAAGGGTAGCGGTGATGGACACCTTTGCCTCCTCTGAGCCGAGTCGGCACGACGCGAGCATGCCGTAGCCTCTGCTTCTTTTCGCTCGATGCTCGGTCAAACGCATCCGCTCCTCCGCCCCTCGCCTGTGGCAGCCTCGGCGCCGTGGTCCGCGGCTCTCGAGCATAGCTGGCAGGAGGGCAGCTGCAAGAGCAGCCGCGTCGTTCGGGGGCGTCCAGGAGGGGGGCGCCCACGAGGGGGGGGGGTCGCAAATAAATGGCCCGAGGCATGTGCGCGGATCAGGAGGGGGATGGGAGGGGGGGAACGGGCAAGGGGGATGGGGGATGGGGGGGGAAATAGGAAAGGGGGGGATAGGGGGGAACGAAGGATACTGATAGCAATGGTGACATGCAGAGTGGGAAGGGATTATGAAGTCGGGGGGGGGGATCCCATGGCCCCAGCCATGATCCCCCCCAAAGTTCACCATCGCCCACTCCTGGCCGCCCCAGGAGTCGCCCACAGGAGCGGCAGTAAACTGGCCCCGGGATGACGGCGGAGGAGGAGGAGGAGGACGAGGATCCGAAGGAAGAGGAGAAGAGGAGAGGAGGACGGAGGAGGAGGAGGAGGAGGAGGAGGAGGAGGAGGAGGAGAGGAGGAGGAGGAGGGAGGAGGAGGAGGAGGAAGGCGGAGGAGGAGGAGGGAGGAGGAGGCGGAGGAGGAGGAGGAGGAGGAGGAGGAGAGGAGGAGGAGGAGGAGGAGGAGGGAGGAGGAGGGAGGAGGGAGGAGGTGGAGGGTGGAGGGAGGAGGGAGGAGGGAGGAGGGAGGAGGGAGGAGGGAGGAGGAGAGGGAGGGAGGGAGGAGGGAGGGAGGGAGGGAGGGAGGGAGGGAGGGAGGGAGGGAGGAGGAGGAGGAGGAGGCGGAGGAGGAGGAGGATGATGAGGAGGAGGAGGAGGGAGGAGGGAGGGAGGAGGAGGAGGAGGAGGGAGGAGGGAGGAGGAGGAGGAGGAGGAGGAGGAGGAGGAGGAGGAGGAGGAGGAGGAGGAGGAGGAGGAGGAGGACGGAGGACGGAGGACGGAGAGGACGGAGGAGGAGGAGGAGGAGGAGGAGGAGGAGGAGGAGGAGGAGGAGGAGGAGGAGGAGGAGGACGGAGGACGGAGGACGAGGAGGACGGAGGACGGAGGACGGAGGACGGAGGACGGAGGACGGAGGACGGAGGACGGAGGAGGAGGAGAGGAGGAGGAGGAGGAGGAGGAGGAGGAGGAGGAGGAGGAGGAGGAGGAGGAGGAGATGGAGATGGAGGAGGAGATGGAGGAAGAGGATGAGGTGGAGGAGGAGGTTGAGGAGGAGGAGGAGGAGGAGGAGGAGGAGGAGGAGGAGGAGGAGGAGCCGCCCGCCTCTATCCACGCTCGGCCCCCGCCCCCGCCCGTCGGCGGGGCTCAGGAGGCCTTCGGCCCTCTGAGAGCAGACAGGCGCGCTCCCTCGCGCGCAGGGCAACAACTCGCAAACGGCCAGGATCCGCCGCGGGGAACTCGCGATCCATGACGTCGAGGCAACATGTCTTCTGTTCGGACGTGCTGCGAGTCATCATGCACTTTGCGAGCAGCGGGAGGTGCTCGGCGAGCGAAGCTCTCTGAGCCTCCTCCGAAGCCGGACGGCTTCTCAAAGGCAGGAGGGCTTCTGATAATCCCCGCCGCCGCCGGGAAATCCTGCCCCCCCCTCTCTCCCCCTCTCGGCGCGCCGCCGACACCTTTCCCTGCTGGTGCTCCTCCTCTCCTGATTCCTCCCCCTCTTTCGCAGCCCTTCCCTGCTGGTGCTCCTCCTCTCCTGATTCCTCCCCCTCTTTCGCAGCCCTTCCCTGCTGGTGCTCCTCCTCTCCTGATTTCTCCCCCTCTTTCGCAGCCCTTCCCTGCTGGTGCTCCTCCTCTCCTGATTCCTCCCCTGCCCTGAATTCCCTTCGTCGCCCTGCCTCTCGGAGCCCCCAACCAACCAGTGAAGAACAGGCGTTCGGTGCCGTGAACGGGGACGGCCGTCGGCCCGAGAAGCCTGCAGCCGTGGGCCGAGACATGCCCAGAGACGAGTCCACGGGCGAGCGCCGGTGTCAGGTCCATGTCTTCGCCATGCGGGGGACGCCTGTCGCAGGGCGGCTGGGAAATCCACACCCCCACGGCGGAACGCTGGGGTCCGAGCTTTCGGACCGCCCCGTTTCACGGGCGTCCTCCCGTGGCCGAAGAACCTGATTCTGCCCCGCGTTTCGCCCGTGGGGTGAGGGGTTGCCAGCTTCTGATCCCCAGGTCTGGGGCGCGTGCTGACCAGAACTTCGGGGCGAATCCAACGGTGGCGACCGAGGGCCTCCCAAGAAATTCCCAAAGGCGAAACGAAACACACATAGCGGTACTATTATAGGACCTTTTCCTGCTGTGAGGGCTGCTGGCTTCTACCCACTGGCCGCCCCTCCGAAGAAGTAGAGCGCGCCAGCAGCGACGGCGCCGAGGCCCAGCCGTGGGCGGGGGCCGGCCTGGGCGATGCGGGGGACTGCCATGGCATGAGGTCGCGCCGAGGTGCGAGAGCCCCTCCCATAGCTCACTTTCGAGCTTCTGCTCCTGCTCCTCCTCGAAGAAGCGGAGAAAGAGGAGGAGGAGGAGGACGAAGGAGGAGGAGGAGGAGGAGGAGGCGGAGGAGGCGGAGGAGGAGGAGGAGGAGGAGGAGGAGGAAGGAGGAGGAGGAGGAGGGAGGACGAAGATGAGGATGAGGATGAGGAGGATGAGGACGGATGACCCCTCCCTGTCCTCGCAACTCCTCGGCCGCCGCCTGCTCATCCTGCGGCTGCCGCTGCTGCCCCCACCGGGGATGGCCCCCACCGCCGCACCCTCTTCCGAGCACCCCCCCCTCCTCCTCTCGGGGATGGACAGACCTCCCTTTAGTAAAACGTGGTTTAGTGAAAACGGCCTGAGGCCCAAACCTGGCGGGCGCAAGCCTTGAAAATAACGGCCGCGGCGTCCTCTCGAGAACCGAATACGGACAATTCACTAATCGACGTGTCACTGTTGGGGGTTCTGTCCACCCCCTCCTCCTCCTCGCTCTGCCTGCCACCCTCCTCCGCCCAAGATGGACAGCCAGGAGAGAACGCTCGCACGCACGGCCGACGCCCTGCCGGCAACAGCCCGCACGGCGGTGGAGGGACGACCCAAAGCCAGATCCCAAAACGCTCGGCTGGCGCGCTTGATCCGTCAGTA